TAAAGCTGAAGCTCTTCATGAATCGATGGACTGTTTTCATTCCTGCAGGTACATCCGCTGTTACTACTTTGCCGTGAAGACGCTGATCACCATTGGAGGACTGCCCGACCCAACCACTGTCTTTGAAATCTGCTTCCAACTCATTAATTACTTTGTTGGCGTCTTTGCTTTCTCCATCATGATCGGTCAGGTCGGTAAAACCACCATTTACAGCTCTGCTTCTTTTTGGCCATCCATGACCTAACGTGGTTCCGCCCCCTTTGGTTTTTGGTGCAATGTGTCAGATGAGGGATGTAGTTGGAGCGGCGACTGCTGGGGAGAACTACTACCGTGCCTGTATGGACAGCACGGTTAAGTACATGACCTCCTACAACATCCCTCGTGAGGTCCAGAACCGCATCAAGACCTGGTACGACTACACCTGGAAGAGCCAGGGCATGCTGGGTAAGAAATGTCTGAGAGAAGCTGTCTGAGACCTGGTCCCTGAACGCCTCGTGTTGAGTTCAAAGTAACACTGAGCTTTGTGGTGTCCCGTGTGCAGATGAGCAGGAGCTTCTGATCCAGCTTCCCGATAAGATGAGGATGGACATCGCCGTGGACGTTAACTACGCCATCGTCAGTAAAGTCGCCCTGTTTCAGGTCAGAAACGGCGAATTAAAAAGAACATTTTTTTTATACACATGAATGCATAAATATGTGTGTGTGTGTCTCAGGGCTGTGATAGGCAGATGGTGTTTGACATGCTAATGAGGCTCAAGTCTGTCGTGTACCTGCCCGGAGACTTTGTTTGTAAAAAGGTAAGAACGCACCTGTCGAGCCGGCAGAGGTGTTACTGAGCTGATGGTGACACAGACAGTGTGTGTGTGTGTTTCAGGGGGAGATCGGCAGGGAGATGTACATCATCAAGCAGGGCGAGGTTCAGGTGGTGGGCGGTCCCGACCTGCAGACGGTGTTCGTCACCATCAGAGCCGGCTCGGTGTTTGGAGAGATCAGGTCAGAGCTGCTTCCCGTCATCCTGTTAAACAATTAAAAACCTGCACGTGGCGGCTGCAAATAAAGACGCTCAATCGCTCTCCGGATGTGCGGCTGGGCAGCGCGCCAGACTGAAATATATTATAGATATATCATCATACTGTGATTATGTTTTGTTAAAATTAAAATGATAAAAATACAGACAACTTTCATACCACAGAGGGAGAATGAAATTTACCCAACAGGGTGTTAAATTTTCAAAAAAGTGAAATCATGTCTGTAGTTTAGTTTTTCATGACCAATGTTTTGAAAAAACTCTCTGTGGTCTCTGATTGGTCAGTCTGCTGGCGGGAGGCGGAGGAAACCGGCGCACAGCCAACGTGAAGGCCCACGGATTTGCCAATTTGTTCATCCTGGATAAGAAGGACCTGGCAGAGATCCTGGTGCATTACCCCGAGTCCGAAAAACTGCTGCGCAAGAAGGCCAAGTAAGACCGAGACCCTGTTAGAGCGGAACGCAGTTTAATTATTTTAATCCAAATCCGAGTCCTTTCATACCGAATTACGACATTTAGCTCGTCTTTGAGTCAGCATCTTTGCTCTCGCTGCAGCAAAGACTTCAGCTAGAACCTTCTGGTTTATGGCTGCCATCGTAACCCCAAGAAACCTTCTTGGCATTTTTTAAAGCATATTGTCAGGGTTTATTGGGAAGTTAAGGTGGAGAACTATTACAGAACCTGCTAACCTGCAACACGTTGTCCAAACCACGGCCATCGGGTGGAGAGACAACGAGGTTAGTGTTTGCGTCCCACCAGCTCTGTTTTGTAAACAGCAGTAAAGACTCTCACACTAAGCTGGAAGGGTTAGGTCCTGTTGTCCTGTCACAGTAGGAACACTATTATTAATAAATACTGATTCACTGCATTCATGACCTTACAGAGTCTGTAGAGACACACTTATGTTACCACAGTTTACAGATGAATACCTGAGCACAGATTTGTACTTTAACCAGCCGGACTCTGGTCACCATGCGGCTGGAGGCGGATCCAGCATGTCAGTAAAGCAGCCCCAGTTGCTAATAACAACCATCAGTTAATAGTAGGCTGATTGTTTCTGCTGCTTCCTCAGCTCGGCTTCCTCTCGTTTGTCTGATCTCTCTGTCCAGGACAGGATTAGACTCACCTCTAATCAGCTCACGGCGCTCGCTCTAGTTTGTGTTTGAGAATCGGGTCAGCTCATTGAGGTGACC